ATCCTGTTCCCAATAACAGGTGCCGCTCTCTGCACACGCGGCCGGCTTCTTCCTGGTTTTGCTCCTGGTGCATGGAGGAGGCGTGAAGCCCCCATAGACACACTGCGGCTGTGTCCCAAACTCACGGGGGAGGGGGGCTTGGCACAGACCCCCCCCCTGCTCCTCGGCAGAGAGGAACCATTTTCTATTAACGTGCAACAGGGTGGAGGGTGTCCCCGGGCTGGGGAGCAGCCCCCCTGTGCCTCAGGGCCGGGCAGCATTGACAAATGGTCTCACACTCCGGAATCAGTCAGGTGGGGCAGGCCCCACACCCAGGGGGGAGGGGTGGGGAGTATTGGGGCTTGGGCCCCAGAGCCATGGGGGGGGGGAGTATCAGGGCTCAGGCTGAGACACGGGGCCCAGACCCCACCAGGTGCCCGGCATGTGCCCAGCTCAGCCAGGGTCCCTGGAGTGCCTGGGCAGGGGGAGCTGGATTCCCAAGGTCTGGGCAGGGACCCCCCTTTAGCCCATTTTCCTCCCCCCTTCTTTTGTCCCACCTCCTCCAGCATGCAGGGCGTGTCCCCCCGACTAGTCTCCTCCCCCTGGGGGCGGGGCTATGGAAATAAGCCGGGGTATAAACCCCCGCGCGGGGCAGGGCGCAGCGGCTTGGAGCGCAGGGCGCACGGGGGCGCAGCCGGTTCTGGAGACCCCCCGCGGCTCCCGCCTCCGCCCACTTCCCGCAAGGGGCCCGGCCCTGTTCGGACCATGCCCCCCCCAGGAGCTGCTGCCCGGGTACCCGCCTGCGCCCCCGGTGCCCCCGCACCGGCCCCCGCCCGGGCTGGAGCTCCAGTGCGTCCTGCTGGGGGACGGCGCCGTGGGCAAGACCAGCCTGGCGGTCAGCTACAGCGCCAACGGGTACCCGGCGCGCTACGTGCCCACGGCGCTGGACCGCTTCTCGGGTAGGTCCCGCGGGGGACCCCTTCTCCAGCCGCGCTCCCCCTGCCAGGCCCCCGGGACTCCCTGGAGCGCTCGGTCCTTCCCCCCACATCCCCTC